GACTAGTGTCTGTAGTGAGGCAGGCAAAGAGTGTCGTGATGTAGAGAAGGCGTGACGTGTATGTGTGTGTGTGTTTCCGAAGGATTTTTCAAACTTCTCTGAGAAAGATTATTCGTAATTTGATAAAGTCGATCAATAAAATAATCCACACAAAAAGCTTTCTTTGTCTTTAATAAAATTTGACTTTATATATATATATATATATATATATATATATATTAATCCAAAGTGAGCTCAATGATATAATAATAATAAGTAAAGAAAATCCTTAAAAATCCATTTCGGTTATAATTTATTTCATGAATATATTTAAATATTCATCTCTTCAGACCGAAAGTTTTTAGAAATGAAATCAAATTGTCCAGACAAAAGAAAAAAAACAAACAAGCTTTATTTATTTATTTATGTATTTTTTTGTCTGGAGAAATTAATTTCATTTCTAGAAAAAAAAAACTTCGTTTTGAAGAGATGAATATTTATATACATTCATGAAATAAATTATAACCGTAATGGATTTTTAAGGATTTTCTTTACTTATTATTATTATATCATTGAGCTCACTTTGGATTAATGTCTAATTAAATATCTATCTATCTATCTATATATATATATATATATATATATATATATATATATATATATATATATATATATATATATAAGAGTATTTATTTAGGAAAAAGAACATCAATTGCGATAATAATAATAATAATCGTAAGGGAGACTTTTTTTAATCATTTCGCCCCAAGAAAAGCAACAATGACACTAAGCCACAGGAAATTACTGAGTGTCAAAGAAAAACATTCTTAAGGCGCGAGAACAAGAAAAGAAGAGAAATTAAGACTACAGAAGATAACGACTGATATTGTCAAATTATTGATTTTGCTATTCCATCCGATACAAATGTGGACTCTAGAATTGTTCATTTCATGAATACATAAAAACAATGCGTGCATCTTCTTTAGCATTTGAAGTACGTGAAATACCTCTATATAACCGTAGAAAAATTGGATGGCCCTCCCAAAATTTTGCCACAACGATCCTCAGAGATGCTCAGCTTGGACAACTCAAATGCAGCAACGACTACTCCAAATAATACATACATACATATATATATATATATATATATATATATATATATATATATATGGGGGGGTGAGTGTGTGAGTGTGTATCTGGCATGCGTGTGTTTGTGTGTTTGTTTGGATGGTCAACAAAAGCCTAAAGGATTTTC